TTTGTCTGTCTGTCCAAGCTAATCTTCGGAATGACTGAATGGATTGTCACGAAACTTTACGAACAAATAGAAAGCAATGCCTAGGATATATTCTATCCGAAAAACTTATTTCTTGAAGAAAACGAAAAAATTTATAAAATAAATTAATGTTCTTTTCAGCCGACTTCCAAAAAGGAGACGGTACTCATTTCGTTTTTTTTTATGTGTGCCTCATAACTTTTTACTGGGTGAACCGATTTCGATAATTCTTTTTTTATTTGAAAGCTGGTACTTCTCCCATATGAATTTGATCAAGGTCAGACCAATAGGTTTTGAGTCATTCTTAATAACTTATATTGAAGTCGGCTGTACAAAATTTTTAATTTTAAATTATACTATCTTAAATCTAAATAACCAGGCGAAATCGCTGCGGGTCGCTAGTTGTAACTATAATACAAAATATCTTAACTCAGGTGTGTGAATACCATTTAATATAAATAAACATTCTTATCTTCTATCAAGGTCACGCTGATTACCCTTGCTAAAAAGAAATTGGAACAAAAGCGTAGGAAAATCTCACAAAAAAATCTGTGAATTATTTCAAGTATGTAATAGCCCTGAGAGCAAAGATGTGTTCATTGTACTCGTAGATAATAAAATTATGAGAAGGTCACTACAAAAACTAACGGTCACAGTAAATAGTTCAGATGATTGATAAAGGTCTGTTCACAGAACAACAACTGATTCTCCTTACAATTGTTCTTCTTTCTAGTTTACCCACATCGAATCAAAATGCAAAGACGTTGTCACTTCCCACCTAGTAAGACTATGCCTTAATACTATTGAACTGAGTATCTAGTTTTAGTTCCGCCCCATACGCGTAAAACAGCAGTGTAATGCTGTTGATACCTAGTATTTTATGAGAATGATCCGTTGGTCCAGTGGCCGTTAGCGCGATTACGGTTCATGTGGGGCTGGTTCGAATCCAGAATCGGATCAAAATCGGTTATTAGGTTTTTCTGACAAGAAATTCATAAGCAACCCGAAGTCGGAATGTACAACGCTGTAACATTTTATAACTTTGCAATATATTTCCTCACTCATGCCTTGTTAGTTATAATGAACTTTTAGTAGACAAAATAAGAGACGGATCAGTGAGCTAATATGACAATGGGCTGGCATATCGCTCAAAGAACCGACAACTGACGAGACATAACGACAGCCCTCCTCTAGATGGATTGACGATCTAGCAAGACACGCAGGAAGTCGATATATTATGATATATTAGGTAGTCCAGGACCGTGTTTCGTGGTATTTCTTAGGGGAAGCCTGTGTCTAACAGTAGACTTGTGAAAGACTGTAATGATAATGATGAGGATGAGAAACAAAGTTACTGTTACGCGTGTAGTTGTTGTGTAAGAATATCCACTACTCCATATGATATGATGATGATATACTCCATATCATCCCGTGGGTGTCGTAAGAGACTACAGAGGGAAACAAATCATCTGGGCAGCAGCATCTTCCTAATAACAACTAAAAATAAAAAAACTGCGGTTGCCAACCCGCTTGCCAAGTATGGCAACTATGGCAAATATACGGCTATAAATCAGAGAGAGAGACAAAGTAATGATGCTACCATAGAAATATAAGAAACGTCTTTCTTATATCTATGGATGCTACTACACATACTACAAACTGGACGTAGTTATACAAAAACGTTTCAACCCACAAGTCATTCAAAAATGAGTTCTTCTTCTTCTTTACTTTTTGGCTTCTGTTAAAAGAATTCTGCCAATGTCAAGTCAGTCATGGGAGTGACAATCATTTTTGAATGACTTGTGGGTTGGAACATTTTTGTATAACTACGTCCAACTATACTAATACTACTTAAATAAAATTCCTGTGTTTTGCAATACCTGTGTTCATCGCCACAAAATGGACAGATCACGTAGAGAAGTTAAAAATTAAACGTGATAATGTTCCTAAAATTAGTTTTGTTCAATTTTGGGGTAAATTTAAATTATTTTGATTTTGTATTGAAATTAAAGCCTTAGCTAAAATTTCTAGTCACGTCCTACGTACGAGTATTGCACGCGCGCCGTACGTTCACCATCCCAGTTATAGCACTTTAAAATTATTTTCAAATGGCAATACGTGAGTTCAATGGCGAACGCGCCAACATCCTAGACCACAAAGTTTCAATGTACTTAATTTATCTTCATGATCCTGTAACAGTAGGTTGATGGGCATACATATCATAAATATTTGAATGATTCACTTTCTGCATTACATATTATAGTAGTTGACATTATAGTAGTTGACACTACCAATAATAAATAACTACCTACATGATAATTACAACGGCTTCAAACTTGAATCTTAATTTATTACTTTCTCCTTCAAGTTAAATTAGAATTTTATTATTTAAAAAAATTATATGATCCATAAAAGTTGCTCAAATTCGGTGAAGGAAAAATTATGAAGAAACCTTGCATGTCTGAGAAATTATTTTTTTTTTATCGAGTACATGTGAATTCCGACAACAAGCATTTTGGCCGCATTTTGGATGCATTACAATACGTATGGCTGAACGCTGCGCGCTCACCGCCCTCAATCGCAAAAAACGTAGAACGTATGAAATGTTTCAAATAAAATTTGTCGCGAATTTTATGCCTGATTTCATGTTTTTTCGCATTTTTCAATCTAACACTCTTTAAGATTAAGTGCAGTTTATCTTAACTAAAGTGTCCCTGAACACCTAAATAATATTTGTTAATAAAAAACAACAACGCATTTCACTAATGTTGTATTCACTATTTATAGCATTATAACAACAAAATTAGTACAGGCGCACAAAACAAATAAAAAAATACATACCTAACTTATTAAAACTCTAAAGATAGGTACACTTCTGATGGAAATACCGCTAAGTAGATAAAAACAATAAAACAGAACGTGAGTCACGACCTCGACATAACTTTCCAGTTTTTTTTTTTTAATTTTGTTTATAAATGAATGAATATATTATGATCTAGTTGTTTATATTTAAAATTTTAAAAGCATCAATAGGTTGTGTAGTCGACGGTATTACCGTGCTAAATCAAAGTTCATGCGCTTCGAATTTCTTAATACCTACACTTAATTACTCGTAACATAACCCTCACAGAAATGAGTCTCCCTTTATATCTGTGAGGGTTTTATTTACGCGCGAGATCAGCGTCCATTTCAGGCCTGTGCCCAACAGTGGGATGTATTTATGCTGTGAATTTTAATTATCTTACTAAGTACATTAGAAGCCCAATTCGTTAATCCCAAATAAGCCGTGCGCAGTGTATTATATTGTCTATAGATTAATAAGTACGCAGTTGGTAAATTATGCGGTAGCGATAAAAGAGAGATGATGTTTAAACTAGGCACCTAATATACACCATTCTATTTATTACATGTAGTTTATACGTGGTAGAGCCATGCTGCAGTTATATTAGTAGCATATTAGTAGTATTTTAGTAAACTATTAACTAATCTGTGGTAGTATATCGTTTGTCACCCTATACCATAAAAAAAGATCTTAACAATTTAATTCTGAGGCTAAACTAAATAGTATATTTTTTTTTAAATGAAATTTAAGTGACTAATGCACTTACAGTTGATCTGATGGTGATGGACTGCAGACCATGGACACCTACAACCAACATCAAATAAATAAGACTTAAGATGCGGAATAACCTGTGAGTACCAAAATGGAACGCCTCACAGCCTGTATGTTTATTGTACATAATCAACTAAAATCAAAGGATTTATCAAAAACAATGATTTCACCAAGAAAAAAATGTTTGTTCATTTTATATGCGCAATTCTGTTTCACAATCCCCGAATAATTCCCCTTGGAGAATCCATTTACTGTAGCAAATTGCACACCAAAAGATGTTATTAACTGTGAGTAAACAATGGATATTAAACAGATAAAACCAGCAAACAAAACGGTTCGTTCTTTTAGCTTGATTAGTTATATTAATTTTCTGATTCATTGAAGAGTTGGCTTATCGCTGCTATCGCAGAGTCTAACATCTACGCGCACTGCACACTCAGCTATAAGATAAGATTAGTTAGTTTACGGCTTTGCTAATGAAAAATGTGCAGTTGTGTGGCGTCTATACTTTCGGTGATTTAAAACTAGGTAAGTCTTTAAAAATATATATAGAGAACGCTGTTTTTGTTTACGAAGAACACATATCGTTGATAATATGATGTAATAGGTTCATTTATCATTCGTAAAAAACCGATATCATACTTATTTTACGTTTTATTTATAACCTTTTTTATGTTCAATTTTAATTTTAATTAAAGATTTATGTCCTTTTAAGTTAAATAATTTAATAATATTTTAGAATTAAAATATGGTCTTTAGGCATTGCCATTTCCCTTAAATAAACATGAAACAATGTTCATTCTTTCATGGTTACTTAGGCATTTAGCGATGAAACTAATAAAAGTGTTCCTGTTACTATGCTGCAATGAGTAGGCTAGTTTTAAGTTTTGTGTCATGACGTAAATATTGCATATTTATTATGAGAAGAAATATTAGTATATTTCTGTCAATATTTTGTTGAAAATATTTCGGAAAGTGTATATAGAAACAATCTGAAAATGACTAAAAGTCACGGACAAGGGTTTATTAAAATGTAACTTGTATTAGTAGTTTAGACAATTTAAGCATGAAACAAACACAACTAACAAAACTGGTGAATACAATATACACATATCCATTTTTGAATAATATTCATCATTTCAGCAACAAAATAATGAACTAATGTTTGCAGTTTTAAATTGCTAATACTCGTATAAAAACCTGACGCATATTTTTTAATTTAGAAAACTCCGTTTATACAACCGATATTAACACATAAGTATTTTCTCTTCAAAATAAAAGAACGTATAATAAATTATTTTGTATAGGTACTTAACCTACTGTTAAGGAATAGATATGGCAATATTATAGTAAAGTTGTGTGAAATAAAATGTCTGATAGTATTAAAGAATTGTGTAAGAAGTACGAAGAAAATGTGGCGAGGCAGCACGCGAGGAGCGTTGGTCAGTATAACAACTTACATTTAAAATGAAAAAAAAAAATATTCCAGTACAAGTGACAGTGTTTTGTTAAAAGAAATGTCAAAAGCGAATGAAATAAATCTACTGTTATTTCACCTGCTTTCGATTTTAATTTTCTTTCACATTTGAAATTGAATATTGGATTTAATATACAAAGTACTTTCATATCCAAAGTGTCGGCTAAATAATGGGACAATGTACATACACGTTTTTACAACAAAATCCCAGAAAATAAACAAAGCTTGTTATTGGCAATTTTCAAAATTTCATAACAAAAAAATCGTATTGTATAAAAAGGAGTTATTATTATTTATTACACAATGAATGATAAATAGCCCCTGGGAATGTATAATTAACTACACCATAATATTGTAAACTGTTTACAAAAGTCTCGCTGGGTTTTTTTTGCTTGTTTTTCTCAGGGCCGAGGATTTTTTCCGAACCAATGTTAAGTAAAAACAAATGACTTTGAAAAAAAAAATCTATTACATTTTAACATATTTTTGGGTCTATAGAATCTGGTTTTACGGAATTTAAAAGTATTTCTTACCATACTTTCTACTGTATCTGACTCCTTTGTATTTATCGGTGTGGTAGAGCCATGCTGCAGCTAAATTACTGGTATAGTTGTGGCACGAATGGGTCGGCTCGACCGGGGAAAGACCACGATCCCACATAATACCAGCGTAAAATAGCAGCTTAATACTGCCGTGTTTCGTATTACAACATTAAGGTTCACTTTTTTTTATAAAACTGAAGTGACAAAAGAACCTACAGCCTACCTGATGGTGAGTGGCTACTGTAGCCTATAGACACCTCCGTGGACTAAGTTGGAATGCATCACAGCCTGTAATTATTGGATCCCTATAAACTCTATATCCTTCTTAAGTCCTGGTAGCTTAGGAGCTAAGCGCGCGCTGTAAATTTCACAGTATGCGAGCAACCCTGGTTCGATTCCCACCGGCACCAATGAAATTGTTAATTGCAATTTTAAGTGCTGATTTACGACGTGCTCGGCGGTGAAGGAAAACATCGTGGTGAAACCTGCATGTCAGAAATAAGAAAAAGAATTATTCCGAAGACACGTGAAGTTCGCCAACACGAATTGGAGCATCGCGGCGGACATTTCCTTAGCCTAAAACCCTCTCAGAAATGAGAGGAAGCCTGTGCCCAGCAGTGGGACGCATATAGGCTGTAAGTTTAACTTTTTATACCCTTCAGACGGGTACGGTGACTCCGTCGTTTGGTACCTATCCAGGACTCCTAGGTAGGAGTAAAAGTTCTAAAGAGTCCTACCACTTAATTTTATAATGAATACTACATTAAAATAGCTTTAACGTAGCAGAGCTACACCGCAGCTATCTTATGGTTGTAGCACGAAATGGGTCGGCTCGACCGGGGTGTGTTTCGTATGGTGAGTGTAGAGAACCGAAGACCCTAAACACAATCGAAAATCGAATCGCATCGACACGCATATTTTCTCTTGTATCATTTTCGACGTTATTCTTCAAAGACCTCCGAAGATTAGAATGAAGTCTTTGCACAGGTGTTTGTTTATTATCTTTTTAATATATGACATTTACTTTTGAAGTTAAAAGCGAAGGTTTCAGTACATTCATACAACATTTTTTCAAGAGATATTTCTACATTTGTATCCGTCTTATCTCGTGGCGTTAACTTCAGTGTTACTCGCCAAAGTAGTCCCGTTCATTTAGTAATATCCTCCAGACCGAATATCGGTCACTAAGAAGAATAAACTAAGAAGAATAAAATAAATACACTATGTTTTATAGCATCAACTTCACCCCTACACCCTTTTTATTGGAAACGAGGCATTCCATCTTAGCCCTCACGGGTGACAACGCATCTGCAGTTTGATTCGTAATCGAGGATAGATGTCTATAGGCCGCAGCAACCACTTACCATCAGGTGGACTGTGTGTTCGTTTGTCACCCTTATCCTACAAAAAATAACGTTACTTTCATTAAAAGTATCATTATAATTTTATACGGTGTAATACACTTTCATTTACCATTTCATTGTTATTGTATTAAATTGTAATTTGTCCAAGAAGTATGTACAACTATTTCATTTCAAGTTATTCCAAGTTGTATTTAATTTTCACTTTGTTTAATTGCAGGGTTGTTTACAATCCCTGAATACCCGGAGTTGGAGGCTGAGCGAGGCATGTGGTCCACCGCGCTCGACGCAATCCTCACGACCCTGCGTTACTTGGCGCCGGCTACACTACTTACGTTATTGTGGAGCCAACAGAATTTCATCTTTAAGCTACTTAAATATATCAACACTGCTTTTAGATCTCGTAAGTGTTTTCTTTATTTTATATATATATATATATATATATATATATATATATATATATATATATATATATATATATATATATATATATATAATTTTGTCAGTTTAAAAATAAGTTTTCACAATTACAAATCGAAAAAAGCTTTAAACATTGTTATTTGACCCATAAATTTTGAGATTAAACTAGGATGCAATTCATCAAATCCCGGGGGTTTCCATCCTCCATCCCATAACGGTGCATTCGCATTTTACTCCATAAGCGAATATAGTATAATATATTACGTGATAGAGCCATGCTGCAGCTATATTAATAGTATAGTTGTAGCACAAATGGGTCAGCTCAACTGGGGAAGGACCACACTCTCATATAGCAGCTTAACACTGTTGTGTTTCGTATGGTAAATGTAGAAAACCGGAGACCCTTTTTACTGGAAAAGAGGCATTCCATCTTAGTCCTCACAGGTGACAACGCATCTGCATTTTGATTCGCAATCGAGGATAGATGTAGATGTCTATGGACCACAGCAACCACTTTACCATCAGGTGGACTGTGTGCTCGTTTGTCACCCTTACTTTATAAATATATAGACTATATAGACTTAAGTATCTATGTGCAGAAGGTAACTGTGTAGTGACGGTGTAAGAACATCCACTAACCCCATATCTTCCCATGGGTGTCGTAAGAGGTGACAGAGCGAAACTAAACAGAGACGGGCAGCAGCATCTTCCTGATAACAACTCAAAATAACAAAAAAGCTGTGGTTGCCAACCCTTCTGCCAAGCTTGGCAACTTCGGCGAAACTCCCCTAGGCCTCCCCCATGGATTGCTCCTTATCCATGACGGAAGCCTATATTCAGCAGTGGACTTATATAGGCTGTAAAGGATGGCTATGGGCCATAGAATCTACTTATCCTAAGTGACCGTGTGCTCGTTTGTTGCCCTTTCTATAAAAAAAACTAGCTAAATAGCTGTAAACACCAAAATCATTGCCTATTTTAATCATAGCGCGTCATTAGGATAACGTTATCTGCATTAGATCACTTTGCTTAGGTCATCCTTTGTTCTCAGAAGTAGAGGACGAAGATTTTAGTCACTAGTATCTGCAATTTAAATTTTTGACTGCTTGATACCGGTGATTCGTATTTTGTTACCCAAAAAAATGTCAAATAATTTATAAAATAAAAAAATATATTAATGAACGAGACGGTTTACAATAGAGAAATTCAAAAGGCTTCCTAAGAATTAAATCTAAAGCAAAAAGAAAAAGTGATAAGTTCAGTTTTTTGAAAGATATCTAGTTCACATCCATACTTATCAACAAAAAAAACAAAATTTTTCTTAAATTTTCTGTTACTGAGTACCATTTCATAATAACATTTGACGTGCGTGTTGCTTATTGATTAAATAAAGTATAAGACAAAGAATACCAGCGTGAAGTAGAAGTCTAGTTTTGCATTTCGCCTGGTGAGTGAAGGTGGCCAGAGTTCCAATTCCAAACCTTATTATGGTAGCGGAGTTAAATAGATCACTACCCCAGCACCCTTGGTGACGGAGAATCCCTCGCTAAGCACCCACGCCTAAGAACTCGATCGTCCCGTAGACGCGGGAATCGTCACTCACTTCGTCACTATAGGTCGGCCGATTGGGACGGGATGCGGTCTTTTCTTGCATCCTACCCTTTGGGGCGGGTTTGTTTCTCGCCGGATGATCCCAACGTTGCTGCTGATTCTGTCGCTGATGTGTTGGTACTTCAGGGAATGGAATTATTTATTCCATCATCTTTGGTACCTATCGGAGGAAAGAACTTAGCCATGGTTTGGTCACTCCTGTAAAATTGTATCACGCTATAAGCAGGAGTGCTACCGGGCCTGGGCTGTCGCATCAAATTTCCGGGATGTAATCACCAGCGCTCTTAAAAAGAGGTATAATACCGCCTCCAGATCCTTAAAATATGTCATTGTCTAGGCAAAGTCGGAGCACATCGGCAGAATTGGCGAGAAACTAGTTCGCCTCCCTTCGATAACACGTGCATTCTGGTCTCTCACCAAGGCTGTAAAAGGGCACTTCTGTCAGCTATCTGTGCCATCTCTGCACAGGGTGGACGACTCACTGGCCCATGCCGCAAAGGAGAAAGCCGATCTGCTAGGCTCTCTCTTTGCTTCCAACTCGACTCTCGATGACGGGGGGAACACACCGCCGACCATCCCACGGTGGGAGTGCTCCATGCACTCCTCTCCCTGGACGTCAACAAGTCAAGTGGGCCTGATGGAGTCCCACCTATTGTGCTGAAGACATGTGCTCCGGAGTTAGCACTGGTTTTAACGAGTCTTTTCCTGTACTCCTACTCCCTAGGCGTAGTCCCGAACTCTTGAAAGACAGCTTTGGTGCACCCTAATCCCAAAAAACGGCGACCGCTCAGATCCGTCCAACTACAGGCCTATCGCTATCACCTCCTTGTTCTTCAAAGTAATGAAAACTATTATTAACTGCCAGCTCATGCAGTACCTTGAGGATCACCAGCTGATTAGTGACCGCCAGTACGGTTTTAGTCGAGGTCGCTTAGCTGGTCATCTTCTGGCTTTCCTAACTCATATGGGCGGAGGCAGTGGAGTCCAATGGGAAGTCGTTGGCCGTTAGTTTGGAGATAGCGAAGGCCTCCGATCAGGTTTGGCACAAAGCGCTTTTTTCGAAACTTCCTTCCTATGGGCTTCCCGAGAAATTATGCAATTAGATCAGCAATTTTCTTGCAGATCGGATCATCAAGTTCGTAGTAGACGATGCATGCTCCGATTACAAGCCCATTAACGCGGGTGTTTCCATAAGGCTGCGTGCTATCATGAACGCTATTTCTTCTGCAAATCAATGATATGTTGCAAACTGGTAACATACATTGCTATGCAGAGGACAGCACTGATGATGCTTTGTACACTAGCCGTGTCAATATTTCTCGGGAGCGTCGCAGAGTACCGGAACAAACTTGTGTCTGAAGTCTAGACTCTGTTAAACAAAGACTCGGACTGGGGGCGACTAAATCTAGTCCAGTTCAAACCCCAGAAGATACAAGTTTGCGCGTTTACCGCGTAACCCCTTTGTCGTACTTCGCCTTAAAACTGAGGAGATACGACAAACCATGTTGCCTCAGCCAGTATCCGAATCCTCGGTGTCGACATATCGAGTGATGTGCAGTGTCGTGGTCACTTGGAAGAAAAGGCCAAATTGGCCTCTAAAAAGCTTGGCGTGCTCAGCAGAGCGGGACAGTATTTCATGCGGGCACACCGCTTGCAACTTTACAAGGCGCAGGTTCGGCCTCACATGGAATACTGTTCCCATCTCTGGGGAGGGGCTCCCCAATGCCAGCTCCTTCCACTTGACCGCATCCAGCGCAATGCGGTTTGAATCGTCGACGACCGAGTTCTTTCCGATCGGTTGGACTACTGGCACTGCGTAGAGATGTTGCATCTCTTTGCGTATTTTATCGCATTTACAACGGAGAGTGCTCTGAGGAATTGTTCGGACTAATTCTTGCCGCTCAATTTCACCATCGCACATCGCGACAAAACTCCTCGCACAATTTCCTTGTGCACCAGCGATTTTTCCGGACCGTTATGACTTAGGGACCTTCAAGAAAAGAGCCTACTCCTTGTTAAGAGGCCCGCAACACATATGCAGTTCCCCTGGTGTTGCAGTTGTTAATGGGCGGTGTTAGTTACTTACCATCAGGTGAGCTACATGCTCGTTTGCCCCCTCTCCTATAAAAAAATATTATTTTTGAGTTGTTACACACCAAAACAAAACAGACTCGAATGGTGGTTGGTGTAAAAAAATATTGTCAAAGTATGATCGCGTTCGTTCAAATGAGTATGACACTGTGACAAGATGAAATGGATAGATTACTTGATGAGCAAAAGACAATTCATGGTGAAAGGTACTTACGCCACCTTGTCTTTGCCCAGTGAAGTGAGTAGAAAAAGGGAAAAATGACCACGTCGAATTCTATTGTACCAATACATCATGTTTCGGCGCTCCTTATTTTTCAGAAAATCAGAGACTTGATGAGAAGTTTGACATTTATAACATTACCTCAGACCAATGGTCCATATGTTTTAAAAAATCTTTTGAACGAATGAAAGGTTGTTTAAAATTGTTGTTTAAAATTTAAAATGTAATGGAGAATAAACTTTTAACAGGGTAGGGTGACAAACGAGCTCACAATCCACTTAATGGTAAGTGGTTGCTGTGACCCATAAACATCTACATCTATCCTCAATAAAGAATCAAAATGCAGATGCGTTGTGACCCGTGACGACTAAGATGGAATGGCCTCTTTTCCAGTAAAAAGGGTCTCCGGTTCTCTACACTCACAGTGTTTCGTACGGTGTTAAGGTTGAAACATTGATGCTACAACTATACTTACTATTAATACAGCTGCGGCATGGCTCTATCACGTATAAAATAATTTAGTAAAGAATGTTTTTATGTAACATTCCATTAACGTACTTCCGCGGTAAGCTTCAAAATTAGCGTTATAAAACCAACCGAAGTTTATAAAGGCCGGCTATCTCAGTAATCTCACTGATTAAGATTTTTTATTGGACTGTCTCGGTTTATGGCACTATAAATCTAGAATGCTATTTCATGCATCACCGGTTTCCTTCGAGAGCGCTTTGTCGAATTTATACTGTATGTATTTATAAGTTAGTATAACAATGTCGAAATTTGTACAAGTCATCATCATTACAGCCTATAAAAAGTCCACCACTGAACGTAGGCCTCCCTCACAGATTGCCACATAAGGGGATTATTTTTTGTAGTTGCCACGCTTACAAGGCGGGTTGTCAACCGCTGTTTTAATATTTTCTATGTGTTGTTAGGAAGACTTAAGCCGTGTATCGATTATGCGCTCCAAGAGGTCGAACATTGGCGCGCGAAATGGATACCACCTTGAAATGGATACCAAATTGTTCGTTGGTACGCTCAAACGTGGAGCGGGCCGCTCCATCTGGTGTCGGTTTATTACCGCGTATCAAAGTAGTTAATTTCGACGCGCGCGCCAGTTGGGACGGTTGTTTTCATCATTCATGTGTTCGTTGCGTTACGAGCTATGGATAACCAGAGTTGTCATAAATTGATATAATTATATAGCTTAAAATAACTGCTGTGGAATAGCAAATGTCGTTTTCATCATAATAAAACGCTCAGAGTAGATGCATGGAATTATGAAAGCGGCAGCTGTTCGTACACGACCGACATGCATGTTGAACCGTCGAACACCAGGCGCCCTTAGTTGATATACTTCGTACAATTGGAGCGCGTTCTACGGAACGCACTAGTCGGTGCTGTCATTCACGGCCAGGAGCGCGTAATCGATACGCGGCTTTATACTAAGTTGTATGACTCTTTTTTCAGTCTAGGAGTTCGTCTGGGTATGTTCCACGCTCTTGTCTATTGCCATCAGCCGCCATATAGCAATGCTTGCATCGCTTTGTTCCATTACAGCCCTTCCCAAGTCCACTGCTGAACATAGGCCTCCCCCAAGGAATGCTACAAAGCACGATCCTGAGCCACCTGCATCTTACCAGGTCGTCACTCCATCAAGTAGGGAGTCGCCTTACACTTTTACCTACCCTAACCATTTTCCCCATCGGTTGTTGGTTCTTCGAGCTATATTGCCGGCCCATTGCCAATTCAGCTTACTAAACCGTTGGGCTGTCAGTCACTGGTTCTACTGCGGATATCCTCATTTCTAAGTTTATAAGAAATCCCGAGCATAGCCCTTTTTATAGCTCACTGAGCGACCTTGAGCGTCCTCATACGGCAGTAAAGGACCACGTCTCAGATCCATAAGTCATCACTGGCAACACGCACGCATTGTATAATCTATAAGAATATAATTACAGTCTGTAAAGCATTCCATCTTAGTCCAGAGAGATGACAATGCATCTGTAGCCTTCTTTGATTGAAGATAGCTGCAGGTGTAACTAACATGGACTGCAGTAGCTACTTACCATCAGTTGGACTGTAGGTTCGTTTGACACTCCAGTTTTATTAAAAAATATATGAACGCGTGTTTGAGATTACACAAAGCGTGGAACACATGCTTACATAAAGTAAAAGCTTATTGTAAAATATGAAATTCGAAAGCGAATTCAAAAGTAATAAATAAAATATTTTGTTGCACCGTTATCTCTACGTCATACCTTTCTCTTTTTTTAGTGTTTTTCTCGAACGAAGAGCAGAAACAAGCAGTATTGCAATGGCTGTCAGAATATGGTCCGGTACGTGTAGACAACTTGAGCACAGTATGGAGGCATGGCTGGATTTTGTGCGGCGTTCTCGATACTGCACTTCCTGGCGCTTGTGCAGGCCACCCTCCTACTAGCCTCTCTCTGAAACACGCTCAATCAATAGCCGACCACTACCTCGGCGTCGAACCGGTCGGTAATCTACGTCTATCTTTACTCGGTAACTATTTATTTAAAACTAATAGTTGACATATACCTACATTTCTTTTACAGGTATTTTCCCGTGAGGAACTAGAGTCAAATGATACATTAAGTAAAAATCAAGAATGGAGGCTCACTACATATATAGACCGCTTACGTCATGCTTTATCGAAAATTACTCCTCCTGTCTTGAAACCAAACACAGAAAAGACATATCCGGAGAAAACCCAGTTTACTCTCGATTATATAGCGAGAGGTTCAGGATTGTCTGCTGCCCAAATAAACAGACCAATGTATTTCAAAATATATCCAACGTCGCAACAATCTATAGATCCTGGAGAAATAACAGTTATAATTAAAGGTCCGGAAGATACATACGGCATGAAAGTTGTGCCTCCATTATTAGGCAAGGCACAACTGATAAGGCAGCAATTGCTTGATGTACGATCACAAACGAGCTATACAGAAAACGCTTTACCTTTAGCACACGGCGCCACATATTTACGCAGTTATGGAAAAAACGATATGACAAAAACATATTATGTACCTAAAACAAAATATAACATCGATATTGACGTGGAATCAACTACAGATCACATAAAGATAGGTTACATTGTAAATTTAAAAGGTAAATACGAAATTTCAATTACAAGTAAAGGTCAAAATATAATCGGATCACCTTTTACTATAACATCCTCTAATAATATACTTGGACTACTAGAAAAAGAAAGTTTTTGTCTTGAAGACGGAGAAGAAATAGATATAGTCGATGTAAAGACTGATAGAAAAGTTGTGCTAAGAATTGTGGACTTCGTAACGGAAAAAATGCTACTGAAGGAAAACGGTACCTTAGAAAAAATCAGCGAGGAAGAAGCTAAGTACCTGATGGAAAATGACGTCAAAATAGAAAACATACCAAATCTTAATACCCACAACTTAAGTAATATCCCCTCCATAGAATTTAACGAAAGTAACAAGAAATGTAAATTTAACGAGATCGCTAATAAAGTTTTAAAAATTAATAAAGTTTGTAAAGTGTTCCATGATTCAAGTAATGATAAGGAAAATGTATTAAAAAAGGAAGATGTAAATTTTCAGACAATGAATCAACAAGACATTCCGGACATTATAAATTCTACACTTAATGAAATAAATGTAAGCCCATTAATGTTAACAAACAAGCATGATAAAATTATTATTCCAGAAAAAATTTCTGTGTCAATTTTAACTGAAAGAACAGAATTAAATGAGATTGACAAGTTCAGCGACAATTCTACAAATGATAGTAATATCTCAGATAAAAAGGATGAAATAACACAATTTAAAATATTACGTGGCACTTCATTAATAAAAGATGATATATCAATGCACGCTATATTATCGTCAAGTAATCCATTCGTAACTGAGTCGAGTAACTATGAGAAAAAGTTGGGTGAATGTAAAACTTCGAAGTGCGAGTCAAAAAAACCTCAAAATGAAGAGACATGTGATACTTCAATGAAAATTACTATTGAAAAATCTGAACCTGTAATTCATAGTAACCCTTTCATAGATTTTGACATTTTAGAAGCTGATCAACCCAAATCTTCAGAGTTTAAAATTGTTCCAGTTGGTTCAACTTGTACAGACGATTCAATTTATGTAGATTCCATTTCACACAATATGACTAAAATAATGGATGACGAATTTTCAAACCCATTTCGATCAAGCAAAAACCGATTTTCAAGCGACATCGAGCAAAGTTTGCCTGTGACTGATTTTATTATAGGTGCGCCTGTTTCCTTGCCTCCAAACATAAAATCGCTTTCACAAGAAACAGATACGGAACCTCTTGGTAAGACAAATGAAAAACCAACTTTAGCAAACAGCAATGAAGATAACAATGAAATAATGACCATTCCCTTAGGTGTTCTTAATCCTAACACGCAATACGACGAAATAAAAAATAACAGAAATACAGAGTCTGACCTGACAGAGTGTTCCAGTATCAATTCAAATATAACTGACGAAATAGATGACCGCAATGCTTCTCCTAAAAAAGAACTACGAGATTCTGCATATGTAAGTATAGATGAAAACCACACATCACCAGATAATAATAATAATGAGAACAATACGTCAAAAGAAACACAAAGTAAACAAAAATGTTTAAACTTCAAATATATTCCTTCAAACATTGGCCCAGCTGAAAGAGAGTTATGGGAAAACTGTATAGAATTAAAAGAAGATAAATGTAATAAAATCCATGATGAAATTACAAATCTTAACAAATGGGATGTAAAAAAATCACAATTTATGCCAATTTTGGAAGAAATCGATAAAAAAGCTTCTTCATGCACGAAGGGAGCAAAATCTGAAAGGGCTGACACTGATTCAGTAACAACAGTCTTTGCCGAAATAAATGAATCGTATGATGATTATTTTCCAAGTTCAGAAAAAGTTAGTGAAACAAGTGAAATTAAAAACCATAACAGCTTGGAAGATTTATACGGAACTGAAAACAAGTGCGAATATGTCAAATCTGCATCTGAGAAAGAATCAGATGTGATGAGACATGGAAAACAAATAGAGGGAAAGATTTCTGAGATTCAGGCACATGTTACTGAATCAGTTTCAGTAAGTCAGACCCTTCACGTCGATAAAAACGAGAGTAGCAATGGATATCCAAATCGTAATGAAGTAATGCATAGAGATAAAACATACACAAATATTGTTCTGGAAAAAAAGAGATATTGGGATGAAAGAATACGCTTGATAGAAGCCAAAGATGAAGAGTCAAGAGCACAGCAAAAGAAAAGACGTCTTTCTGCAAAACAATTAAGACATAATGACAGTAAAAGAAGAGGAAAGCAAATTGTACAAAAATATCTAAATGCTAATGAAAGTTTTCAAAATCAAAATAAAGTAAATGACATTCAACAGGTAGAGATAATAAAATATAATAGTAAAATATCACAAATTGATGAAGGCAACAAAGGTGATATAAAGCGGGTCAAAAATTGGAAAGCATTTTGGGATAACAAACTAGAACTTGAAAACAATGAAATTCAGATATCTTGCTTTGGAACGAATTCTCCAAAAACCCACACTAATTCTTCAATTAAAAATGATAATTTTGATGAAACTGATATAGATTCCAAAACTCAAGCTAACAATTCAAAATCCTCAATGCCAGTAAAACAAGAAATACCTGAAGAAGTGTTCAAAGCGTTTGAAACGAGCCCTAAGAGGTTTTTTGGAACTTCTAGAAAACAAATTTTAAATAAAATAGACACTTTTTTAGGAAAACCAAATGCCGTAGAGGAACCTTTGATTGATAATACCAAAGAAACTTATGAAAGCGGTTTGGTATCCAGTCGAATTTCTTTGTTTCATAACATATCTCAAAAGGAAGAGGTATCATGGACACAAAGCAAAAGTCAATCTTTGTATAACATAAATCAGCAAAATGATAATTTAAGTGAAAATAATAATAACCCTATTTTAAACCACTCAAGATATAGTAAAGAAAAATCTGAAAGGGTTAATTATTCACAATCAACACATGAACAAACAATAAATAATGAAAAACACTTATCAGAGACAGTTAAAAGTGTTTCATTGAAGGAAAAACGGGCTCGAATAACTGATCAATTTTACACAAAGAGCACTGACGAAACTAGTTACCACAGATTAATAGAAAGTGATTCCCCACATCAAGGTTCTTGTGTTCAAAAGACTGTTAAGTTCATTAATAGACAACACCCAGATCAGGCAAATTATAATTGTAATAACGTTTACAAACTCTCAAGCAGTAAATCAGAAATGGATATATTCAATAAATTTGCAAATACGTCGCACGATGAAGACTTCGATAAACACAAATCATGCGATGAATTACCAAAAATTAATGTCAAAAGTTTTATATCGTTATATGAAGACGTCTCGAAGAGTTCAGAGATAAAATCGATGAGAAAATCTAATAACACAAGTCCTGAAGGTTCTGTGAAACAGTTCAAATCTACGAGTTCAATTTTTGGTATGTATGCATATATTTATATATTTATATTTGTATGTATGTACCGGCTGCCTGCTGTTGATACTATTATCTAGGCCAGGGGTTCGCAGTGTGCACCGCGGTGCCCTGGTGCGCCGTAGAGAGCAAAAAGAGGGAGGAGAGGAGCGTCGTGAGACGCTCGTGTTTACAATTATTCTCTGGAAACTAAACTTAGGTATTCGCGGGTACAAAATAAAAATACAAATCGTACGCGCTGCATACGTCACTCGCTCGCCTATTGGTACTTACGCTCCGAAACGGGTCCAAAATTAATATCCAACTTTAAGTTCAAAACCTCTAAGAATTCTAAACCCCTTTGCAACATCTTATTCTTATCAGCTTCATATTTTACAGTTTTAATTTTTGTGCCTATCTATTATACCTAGAATTATTGTACCGAGACAAAATGCTATAGCTGTAAGTGCGCCGCTGTAAGGCACTAATAATTCCAAATTCATTTTAGGAACTCCTGATACAAAGAAATCCATCGAAAATAATTTAAGCTTAAAAAAACAAAACAGTATAACGCTAGATGAGACAAATACTCATCAAAGAGAATTAACAGGTGAAGTAAATTTACAACGCTCTTCAATTAATAGTATAGAGAATTCAAAAACAAACGATGATTCATTTGAAAGCGATGAAATTTCCAGTAAGGATTTCGAAAAAGAAAGCACATATATAAGCCTGTCAGATATTGAATTAGAAATAGTAGAAAAACTTTCAGAAAAATCTGTTGAAACGTCACCTGAAAGAGACGTTGATATTGATCCAACCGACTATAAATCTCGCTTTAAAATGGCAAAGGAATACTTTCAGTCCCTGGAAGAACTAAGGATAATAAAGAAACCAAACAAGTTAAACGAATGCGAACTATTATTGTACAATAAGCCAACAGAATCTCTCACAGAAAACAAACAAACTAAACAGCGTAAAACGAAATCTAAATCACATACGATGCCATCCTCACAAATCTCTGAATTTATCAATCAGTTACAAGAACAACATAATGAAAATAAAGACCACAAACCTATAAAGATTTCTGAAAAATTTCACGTTGAAGATTTATTTACGGACGTAATGGAAGGTAGATTTAGCAGACAAGGTAGTTTGAGAGGTATTCCTCACAAAAAAGCCGTCTTAGAAGCATTTAGATCAATGGAAAATATTTCGAAACACACATTAAGTCCATACGAGTTTGCTGTGACTCATTTAAATGATTTCACAGTAGAAAATAAAATAAGAAATGCTCAGACATACCTTAGTGAATACCCATACTTACCAACAACCGACCCGTCCGAGTATCACTCGAGATTAGATGCTAAAGCTTCTGGTTTAATATCATTTAAAGAGCTTCTATCCAAAAAGGTGCGAAGGAACAGTGTGCCAGATTTAAGAATGAATACTTCATTTACCGTTGACTTATAATTTTTTTTATTTTAATAATAATTTTGTGAAACGAAATTTCAGTATTCAATGGTACCTTTTAATTTACGTTATACTCAAAGAGTTAAAATAATTGTACACCGAGAAAAATATTCTCTGGAAATTGTATGTAGTTTAGTTGATATTTATAAGGACATAGTGGAACGATATTGTTAAGTAATGCTTATCTCTTAAGAATTGTGAATTGAATTTTTCGTTTTATATTTTCGTTAAGTTTTTGTACAATTGTACAGATGTTGAATCTAATGCTAATAAATAAGAAATAATTATTTATTAAACATTAAAATAATAATATGCCTCGACTTTATTTTTTTTTTCACAGTTTTCTTTTTCTATTTTTCATGTGATATTGACATACCTATTATCCATAAAACACTTATCCCAAAACATTAAAAAATAAATAATTTTAAATTGCGTCTGCACTTGATTCTGTTTAAGTGTTAATATAACATGACTATAAAATTTCATATAACAATCCACTGGACCACCGAAGCTTCATACATAGCCTGCCAAGTTCAAAGAAGTTCGTACTCAGTGTACACTTGATCTAGTGTGATGAAAGGAATGGTCCATAAACAAAAATACAAGAATTCAATGTAAACACTTTATATTAAAACTTTCATACAAAAATTACTGATATAGCATACATTCACTACCCTTAAATAGTTAAGATTGATTTAATTATCGAATCAGGCAATTAAATAACGAGGTGTAATTTAATGAGTAAATTAAAAGGTATTTAAATACCTTTTAATTTACTCATTAAATGGTAGTAGTGGTATGTATATAACTAAATCATGTTTACAAGTAAATATTTATAGTCTTAATTAAAACAAAAATCAATGTCTATCTGGTATAATTATTTCTTATATTACACAACACACTTAATGGAAAGTAATTAGTCCGTCGCACTGATCTGGTGCGTAAAATTGCAATTAAAAAATTCTATGGTTCCATCAAGTATCGAAACCGGGTTGCTCGCGTACTGCAGTTGGTTCTTAGCTACTACGGATCGCGTACTAGTGTTTAATTTCACTTTTGATTCCTCGTTTAAAAAGATAAAATTACTAAGTACCAAGTTTAAAAATTAGGTGCTCTAAAATTTTCACCGCAACGCACTGTTGAAATTTGCGTTGCTAGCAAAACGTCTCGCTAGCAACGCAATTAAGTTATTAGATATACGATAAATATAAATAGCAAGGAATTAAGTGCTAATTAGGTGCTGCAAGTATACGCAATAACAAGGTGCCCCTAATAAAAATAAAGTCGTTATTCAGAACATAACAGATGCAAAATTCAGATTTCCTGAAAAAGAAAATAGAATCAAAATTGCTTTCAGAAAAAGTCCAAATAAGGTGTCTTTTAGGTGCTAATTAAGTACCAAGTTTAAAAATTAGGTGCTCTAAAATTTTCACCGCAACGCCCTGTTGAAATTTGCGTTGCTAGCAAAACGTCTCGCTAGCAACGCAATTAAGTTATTAGATATACGATAAATATAAATAGCAAGGAATTAAGTGCTAATTAGGTGCTGCAAGTATACGCAATAACAAGGTGCCCCTAATAAAAATAAAGTCGTTATTCAGAACATAACAGATGCAAAATTCAGATTTCCTGAAAAAGAAAATAGAATCAAAATTGCTTTCAGAAAAAGTCCAAATAAGGTGTCTTTTAGGTGCTAATTAAGTACCAAGTTTAAAAATTAGGTGCTCTAAAATTTTCACCGCAACGCCCTGTTGAAATTTGCGTTGCTAGCAAAACGTCTCGCTAGCAACGCAATTAAGTTATTAGATATACGATAAATATTAATAGCAAGGAATTAAGTGCTAATTAGGTGCTGCAAGTATACGCAATAACAAGGTGCCCCTAATAAAAATAAAGTCGTTATTCCGAAAATTATTCAGCAAGGCAAATTTTTTTTTATAGGATAAGTGTGACAAACTAGCACACAGTCCACCTGATGGTAAATGGTTGCTGTGGCCCATAGACATCTACATCTATCTTCGATTAAGAATCAAAATGCAGATGCGTTATCACCGGTAAGGACTAAGATGAAATGCCTCGTTTCCAGTAAAAAGGGTCTCCGGTTCTCTACACTCACCACACGAAACACAGCAGCGTTTGCGCTGGTATTATCTGAAAGCGTGGTCCTTCCCCGGTCGAGCCGACCCATTCGTGCTACAACCATAATATAGCTGCAGCATGGCTCTACCACGTAAAAAATTAGGTCTTTGTGTTTGTGCCATCTAGCGTCTATCTTACTTACCACCTTGAAAGTCCATCGATTTTGATTTGATAAAATAACTAGAACTATAGAACGTAGATGGCGCTATTTATTACAAAGCAATTTACTGGAAAGAAAATATCCTTTCGAGTACACTAAAGTTTAGGCTTCACATGTCTAAAAATAAGAATTGTAACATTTATTTGGTTGATAATTACATTAAATAATATTATAATTGGAAGAGAAGGCCAAATTGGCCTCTAAAAAGCTTGGCGTGCTCAGCAGAGCGGGACAGTATTTCATGCCGGCACACCGCCTGCAACTTTACAAGGCGCAGGTTCGGCCTCACATGGAATACTGTTCCCATCTCTGGGCAGGGGCTCCCCAGTGCCAGCTCCTTCCACTTGACCGCATCCAGCGCAGAGCGGCTCGAATCGTCGACGACCGAGCCCTTTCCGATCGGCTCGATTCATTGGCACTGCGAAGAGATGTTGCATCTCTTTGCATTTTCTTTCGCATCTACCATGGGGAGTGCTCTGAGGAATTGTTCGGATTAATCCCAGCCGCCAAATTTCATGAACGCACATCGCGGCAGAACTCCCGATACCATCCACACCATCTGGATGATTGGCGGTCCACCACTGTGCGATTTAGAAGATGTTTTCTTCCTCGCACGACTTCCTTGTGGAATCGATTACCATCAGCGATTTTTCCGGACCGATACGACTTAGGGACCTTCAAGAAAAGAGCCTACTCCTTTTTAAAAGGCCGGCAACGCATCTGCAATTCCCCTGGTGTTGCGGTTGTTCATGGGCGGCGGTAGTCACTTACCATCAGGTGAGCCGCATGCTCGTTTGCCCCCTCTCCTATAAAAAAAAAATTATAAATCTATAATATAATTTTCAACCAATTTTCAACCATTTTCAAATATCATATTAAATCTGAAAAACAAAAAATGCCGTTCATACCTTATAGTAAGGTAATGGTGGTTTTAAACCCGATAATTTCCAGAATATTACCGTCATCTACATGCGACCTCAATAATCTTTCAGCACCTAATTAGCACTTAATTTTTAGGAACTGATAAAGAACAAAAAATACTGTTCATACATTATAGTAAGGTAATGGTGGTCGTGGACCCCATAATTCCCAGAATAATATCGTAATCTGTATCGGGTTTCGATAATCGATCTGCAGCACTTAATTAGTACATAATTCCTTGCTATTAATATTTATCGTATATCTAATAAATTCATTGCGTTGCTAGCGAGACGTTTTGCTAGCAACGCAAATTTCAAGAGTTCGTTGCGGTGAAAATTTTAGAGCACCTAATTTTTAAATTTGGCACCTAATTAGCACCTAAAAAGCCCCTAGTTTTGGATTTTTCCAAATGCAAATTCCCGACTTTGCGTTGCTAGCGATACACAACTCTCTCTATTGTTCAGTATGCCCTTATCCTTATCATTATTTCCATGTGGTGAGTAATAAGTTCGTTCATTCTTATTTAAAAAAACCGGCAAAGTGCGAGTCGGACTCGCGCACCGAGGGTTCCGAACAAATCTGTAGGTATATAAGTTTAAAATTATTAAAAATATTTTTATATGATGTAACTAAAAATTTATGCTTTTCGCAATTTTTCCTTTATCTGTGCTATAAAACGTTGCTTCGTACGAAATTTCAAGATTCTGAGTTCACTGGAAGCATCCTGTAGATTTTGATTCCCTTGCGAATGTCGAAATTTTACGGCATAAACGGCTGTATCTTTTGATTGCGTTGGCTTAGAAGTTTGATTTTTTTCACAGCTCTAAGGGACAGTAGACTTAAGTATTTGATATAAATTTCAGCTTGATACCTCCACGCGTTCCTGAGAAAAAGGGTCTTGACAGACAGACAGACAGACAGACGGACAACAAAGTGATCCTATAAGGGTTACGTTCTTTCCTTTTGAGGTACGGAACCCTAAAAACTACAAAATTTATATTAATGAAAACTATGCAATTAAACATCGAATGAAATCTGTATGGGAGAAATCGTCATTTCTTTATAAGATATGTGAGACGAAAAAGCTACGAACATACGCAAACACAACCTTACTAACAGGGTTGGCGTGAATAAGTCATTTTAATTTAAATTGTAATTTAAATCACGATTTAAATCAAATGATTTTTTCAATAAAAATCAATGATTTAATAAAAAATATGTTTAATTTCACTTTCTTTCATAAAAATCAACATAAAAAACATTTAGAAATTATAAATAAGTTACAAACTAGGGTTGTTTAAATCTGAGAAATCAATATCATTATAATAATATTTGAATAAAAAAGAACAGTTTTCCAGCCTTTTCAATTTCCAGTCGGTTTCTTAATTTGCTTTGAACAATTCCAAAGGTGGAAAACACTCTTTCCACAGCAGCTGAGGCTATCGCCCCAAACAATTGCTTCACCACTGAAAAAAATTTTGACTGTTCCTCTTCCTTAAAATCAACATCCACCACTCTAGTGGTGTCACATTTTTTACTATTTCTTCTGCGACATCACACTTCTAAATGGTTTTGATTTTGACTTAAGCTTTACTATCAATGGTAGCAAAACTGAACCATAAGTGATTTCGTGCTTCCTCCTACGCCCTTTCTTCTTCTTCATCTGTGAGTGTGAATTCTGTTTGGGTTAGGTCTAATAAAAATGCCAAGTGACTGGGGGACATTGCTTGCTTATATCTCTTTTGAAACTTCAACATTTGGCTAATATTTAAATCAGTTTCTTCAAATTTAGCTCCAAGTTTCTTCCAAGCCGTTACAGCAGTAGACAAATTTGCATTATTTCTTTGTAAAGTATATCCAATGTAACAGATATTGGCTTCAAAATTATTAGATAACCTTCCACTGATCTCTTTACGACCATGTTTTTAACTTTTGCTCTAATAACAGTATTTATGACGTCCCTGTTCTCTTCACATATTTTAGTAGCTTTCGCCACTCAGACACAAAGACTTCGAAACAATTAGTTACAGTATTCCAACGAACATCTTGTGGCAGCACTAATGCTTTCCCTCCTTCCGCTTTGTACAAGCTGTTAGCTGCGTGATTGTGAAGTATTTTATTATTTGCACAACATGCTCCTTTATACTGCTAATTTCTAAATCTTACGAAAGTAAGTTCAACAAGTGTGCAAAACAGCCGTATGTGATTGTTGTATCACTATTTTTTAATTCCTTTCGCAATTTAGCCATGTTCACAGCGTTGTCGGTAACAAAACTTGCAACATTACAATTGTATTGAGACTTTAATCTTTCTATCAAACCCTCAGCAAGTTCAGCTAGGTATTCACCAGTGTGCGGCTTTTCTGTGATATCTATCGAGTCAATAAGAATCAATATATGAATTATATATATATATATATATATATATATATATATATATATATATATACACTCAGCGTCAAAAAAATCGCACATCCGAAAAAAATAATTTAAACACTATTTTAACACAACAGGCCAATGGCAATGTTGTGGTTTGTGGGTATCATTCGAGAGGTAATTTCATTAGCTTTCAGGAATTTTAATTGAATTTTACTTTCATAACGAGACGAAAGAGAAATTAAAGAAAGACAGGGTATGTACAAATTTGCAAATTAATAATTAAAAAAAAAACTTAATAAATACAAAAATAGTTCTTAAAACCTAGTGTTACCCCCCCCCCCCCCCTTGCCTTGATAACGGCTTCCATGCGATCTTTCATGGACCTTACAAGGGTCGCAACAGCCTCTTGGGGTATTTGTTCCCACTCTTCAAGTACCGCATCTTGGAGCTCTTGAAGAGTGGTTGGAGCTGGATCTCGAGCTCTCACGCGCCGTTTTAGGTCATCCCAGAGATGTTCTATTGGGTTAAGGTCTGGACTTCGTGCTGGCCAATGCATAACAGTGATATCGACCTCCTGTAAATAATCCCGTACAATAGCCGTGGTGTGGCAACGAGCATTATTATGCATTAACATGAATCCATCACCGACATAACCAGCATACGGGACCACATGTTCCTCCAGGTTTCAGTAATGTACCGACCAGCATTTAATGAACCTTGCCCACGGCCACCCCGAGTCCGGGAAACGCACACAAGTTCCGTTTTCCCGTCGACGGAAATGCCGCCCCAAAACATACACGAGCCACTCCCGTATTCAACGGATTCTTCGAAGCAGGGTTGTGTGAACCTCTCCCCCTGTCTTCTGTAGACCCTTCTACGTCTGTCATTGCAGAAGAGACAGACCCTCGTCTCATCAGAGAAGAGTACGGTCCGCCACTGTTCTAGAGTCCACTCGCAATGATTGCGAGCAAAATCTAGGCGATCTCTACGATGCTGTGCAGTAAGTTTTGGACCTTTAGCAGGTCTATGGGCTGTTAAACTCTTTTCGTGTAACCTTCTTCTTATCGTAGAAACACTCACAGATGTTCTCCGAGTTGATCGAAGCTGTTGTTGCAACTCAACAGCATTTGTAAAACGGTTTCGTAAAGATGTCGTAACGATGAAACGGTCATCTCTTTCTGATGTGCACCGTTTTCTTCCAGATCCCGGTTTTCTAACATAACCACCAGTCTGCTGAAAACGTTGGAACACCCGTCGAACTGAAAAACGGGACAGGTTCAACTGTCGAGCAACGTCACACTGCCGCATCCCCGACTGCAATAGGGCAATCACTTGAGCGGCTTCTTCAGAGCTGGTGTCCATCTTTACTTGTTCTTACTTGAGTTGAGTTACTTGTTCACGTGTGTTCACAGCAAAGTCTAAATTACGACTGACCCATATTTCATCCAGATCGACTCTTTTATACCCTTTTTAGGTGGTGTAACAGCGTCCTTACTAACGAGCATTTGACAGTGTTTATTTTTGACGCTCTATAATGATAGATGTTTTAATGATTTCATGATGTAAAGCTATTCAAATACCCATTTCAAACATACCAATATTTATATAAATATAATTCGTTTCTAGCCATTACAGCCGTTTTTCGCGCAAACTCAGAGAGGTGCGATTTTTGTGACGCTGAGTGTATATGTATATATTTTATGTATATGTTGCATGTATATATTAGAACTGAATTATATCATGACAACTTAACTGCCCAAACTCATTTTCTGTTCTACCCAAGGTTAGCTGGTAGAGAATGCCATATAGCATTAAGCTCCCTTTTGTACAAATATTTGGTGCAATAAAAAATTAATAAATAAATAAATAAGAATTACTTCAGATTGCTCCATCGTAATAGTGGCGCAAATAATCGGTTCATTGTGAAGACCACCCATCTATAGACATATTCATATAACTACCAGATAGATTAGAGAAACACCGTTCGTTTTCTTCGAGGTATGTTTGATCCAAAGAGATTTAAATATATAGTTATACTACTACTACTTAAATGTCTTTGGTTTGATCCAATAATTTGCTTGATATATCCTTCTGAGATGGTGGGATATTTTGACACTTTTCGTAATGTATTTTCATCATTGCAACCAGACCTTAAATTTATTTTTTACATTTATTGCATATAGCCCGACAGCCAGTTTTGGTAGTGATTTTTTTGATCCCATCTCTTTGGCGAGGCATTTTATTTATAATAAATTGGTCACGCACGCATCACAGCAATAACAATAGTAAACAATATTGAACGAATGAATGCTTGTTAGAACGAAAGTAAAACCGTAATTGCAAGCGAAATGTACAACAAATGTAAACACTACACGGTTTACCTTTTGCTTGGCATTGACATGTCAGACAAAAGGGAAATACCCGCGCTGTGTCCGCGCAATCCCTTGAGGGCTCGTTCCGTTTTGCGCAAAAATATAGTTAAATTAAATAACAAAATCAGAAAATCGTAATTAATTAGGATTATATGATAAAAAATCGTACTTTATTCGATTTTAAAAAAAATCATGATTTTTTCCAACCCTGCTTCCTAATAAAAAACTGCGTTAACAAACCCGGCCGCTTGGCGTGGCAATTATGGCAAGTGCCAGGCCTATGTTCAAAAGTGGACTTTTGATAGGTTGTAACGATACACAAACACAAAGACAATCTTTTAAAAACAGTGAAAACAAACTCCAGGGACCCCATAATGGTGAATTTTGGACACACTGCAGTTATCTGCAGTTAATAATCCCATTCAACGAATTATTTTTATTAAACCAATAATTTTCGATCAGTAACTTACGAATGAAGATAAGTTAGAGTAATAGACATATATTTACAAAAAATGTACAGATCTAAATCTATTTTATCAAAAATCACACACAAAAACAGTGCAATCATTTAATATGTATTTGGACATATGTAGACGCGGCATCAGCTCGCCTCCATTGAAGCCAGGCCGCCACCTGAGGGTCTGAACGATCGCCTCTAGCTTCCAACTGTTGGTAATACGCCTCACGGATTATACGGAAAGCGTCCACGCTTCTGTATGGCAGCTTTGTTATCGGGTCTATATAACGTGCTGGTCGCCTGGAAAATAAATGAAACTTATCAAAATAAATATAAATATTCGCTATGATTTAATTTTGTGCCTTATAATCAATGTTTTGTACATCGGCATGCATCATGAATGCCGACTATTTGTATGCCAGTAAGACCTGAAAAACAGTTTGTAAAATTTTTATTTGTCTGTCTGTCTGTGCTAATCTTAGATCATAGAAAAAGATCAATGCCAGGAGTGATCTAGGCTTATTATATCCGACAAACTTAAAGAATTTTTGGATTTTTTAAATGGAAAAATGGAGAAATAAATGGTCATTGATAATTATTTTTAAAAAATCTAGCTCCATACGCATTAATAGATCCCACCCAGGCGAAGCCGGGGCTGGTAGCTAGTAATTTATAAGACTTGTTTATATACTTACACCTAATATATACTGCTATACCTTACAAAATAAATAAATTATAATATTTATAGTATTTTTTTACATAAAAAGTAAAAAATGAATGTGATGATTGTTCCACAGATGGGCAAAAGCCTCCTCTCATTTCTGAGTGGCTCATGGATCAATAACAGGCTGTTCCAGGGCATGTTAAAAGACTTCACATATCCCTATAATATTTTATTTTTCATATATGCAGGTTTTCTTACATTAAATGCCTTCACCACTAGGCACTGGTAAATCAGCACTTAAAATTTTATTAGTTCTAGAGAGGATTGAACCTGTGTGAAGATCGATGTGCTCGTGTACTGTAAAATACAGTGAACCGTTATCCACTGAGCTACCACGATGTTAATATTATAAAATTTCTCTTTAATATTCATAAACCAGTAAAGGTCTGGACACAAGCCTCTCCAGTTATGGGGAGGATTCATTATTTATGTACCTACTTTTGACAGGCGAATTGGCGCGCGCAATACAAGATGTCTCGCTTTTTATTGCAGTATATTCATCTTACGCCTTGCATAAACAAAAGGGTAACGACTTGGCAGTGCAAATTTCTATGAACTGCAATTGTCACCATCAGGGGACGATTGCACGCACAGTCTTTTTAAATATATTATGGGTGAAAAGCAAGCACGCAGTACACTGGTGCTGTAGTGTATGCACATCTACATCTATCCTCAATTAAGAATTAAAACGGAGATACATTGGCACCCCTGCGGACTAAAATATAATGCCTCGTTGCCTGTACAAGAGTATCCGCTTCTCTACAATCACCATACGAAACACAGCAGCATTAAGCTGCTATTTCACGCTAGTATTCTGTGAGAGAGTGGTTCTTTCCCAGTCAAGCTGACCTATTTCTGCTACAACCCCACAATAGGTGCGGTGTGGCTCTACCACATACTCATCACTGAATTGGAGAAAAAACTCACTTAGTGACAGCACACAGTAGCTCCCGTTTCTTCTTGGGCTGCGATTTTGGGAAACAGGCATTGAATGCTTTGTCTTTTATGTCATTCTCGAATGAAATCAAAGTCCTTTCGTAGAACTTGCAATTGTTGTACTTCGGCTTATTACGCTTCTTTTCTTCTTTACTATAAATGAACGGAAAATCAGATTAATAAACAAAAACTAATTTCATTATCGATTTGTACCTTTCGCCATCCAGCGGTAGGATGAGGATGTTTTCAAGAATTAAGTGTATTTTCTCCAGACTTGCCCGCATTTAAAACTACGAGCGTTGTCAAGCGCGGTTGCTATTTATTATGAGACCGGAAAACCAACAGATTGACTAGATTTCTCCGTATTGTATTTTCCTCGCATAATACCCAGAGTAACAAGAAAGTTTAATTCTTCATCTAGTGTTAGGACACTTTCTTGTTATTTGAAAGTAAGGGTATTAATTTTGAAGCAGGTCAAATTATAGCGTATTTATGTTCTAAAAAAAAACATGTGATGTATAAAGTCCCACCAAGTAAATGGGGCTATTGAAGCAAATGCTTCTCTTATTTGGGAGGGTAGTGTCATCATCTAACATATTGCAACCTGTCGAACAGTCACTAACACACACTAACAGAACTACTTTCAGGGACATTGACAAATGTATTAGTCAATGAGAATTATTAGTTTTTAAAGCACATTTACAATCTGACACTTGTAGTGGATTTCTGGGCTGAAATAAATTTGAGGAATAATTTTTAAACGATTTATTGCTGTCGCACTGTGCCGGAACAACTGAACTTGGCAGCCGAGAGACACAACTCCAGTTTTGACTGATCATACCAATGAAAAATTAATGAAATCATCATCTCATATTGGCTTATTTCCTTCTATAAAACTAGAACGATTCTTTTCCAAGAATAATATATAAAGATTTGTGGCTATATCCATGTATATTTTTTTTGATTTATTAATTAATTTGCTGGATTTCTAATAACAGCAGTATAACTTGTAGGAATTTTAGAAGATCCATAGTTTTAAAAATAATTTATTAGTGGAAAAAAAAAAACAAAACAAACATACGGTGGTGGATATAGATTGTAACATAAAAATCTTTAAATCTTTACTCTAGCGACATTATCGAGAAAGAAAACAAATTAATATGATTGTATGAACTAAACGCCACCCAAATATTCTCTTAATATTTGTGTGTTGTTAATATTTACAATTGTCACCAATCACAAATCCCCAGCACAAAGTAATCTGCAATCAATAACTGACTGTATGTTACACATAATTTGCTTCCTCTTATGGCCCCTCAGAAATGAGGGGAGGCCTGTTCCCAGCAGTGGGACATATATAGGCTATAACTTTAACTTTTATGGCACAGCCTAAACTACGCTGGCTGGTATGTAAGAAACTTTATTTCCCAATAGCGGAGGTTCAAGTGATAGAGCTCTTGACCGTCTTTGTTGTCAATTCAGTTTACTCAAAAGTTCTGATTACTCACATATTAACATCGTCAATATTAATTTCATCGTCCGGACCAACAACCTCCATTTCCAATTTAGTTTTATAGGTATCTTCCGCTTTAGCCTCATTGTTTTCTGTTTCCGATTTCATTTCTGCTTTCGGAGTGTTGGTATCGCTTTGATCGCTCAGCGTTATTAAACCTGAAAATAGACCAATTACAAAAGGGTGCATTATCATACAATAAAAATAAAATAAATCAGTCTGTAAATTTAACATGCTTTTTTATTATTACATATTTCAAAATAAAGCCTTTATTAGCCAGCAGCCGCAGGTGGGTGGTGGAATCGTTCAATGCCTATCAATGCTTGTTCGGCTTGCTTTCATAAAATCTATTCCGAAAAATCTGGCTTCCCTGATTTTAAACTTTTGTGAAACTACTAAATATCATAATATGATACATGTTATTTGGGACTATCATAAAAATTACTTGAAGAAATATGACCATGCCACTTATTGGGTAGGGTATGTGGTGTATTTGATTCCTATAATTTGGCTCCTCCCATCCTACATCCTATAAAAATCTCATTACTTCCGACAGATGGCGGTAATATCAAGTTATGTATGCCAGGTATAAAATATCCAAAAATAAAAAAGGAGAAAAATCAAAACTGTGAGACTGTCGCGTACATACGTCAGGCAAGATTACAACAATATCATGCATAGACATAGATATGAAAAAGTTTATAAGTATTGGAAAAATAATATTACCATCCTCATTCTTTACCAAATCACAAGGACCAATGTCATCCAATTTGGCAGAATTTGGCTTTTCTTCTGAAGAAGTTGTTTCCGAGTCTAATGGCACTGGAACGGCGAATGAATGATACCTTTAAAAACATATTTTTATTTAATGAAATGTATACATTTCTATAGCAACGAGATTATCTAATTTTCCTTACCTTATAACAGGCCCAGTGATTGTTTTTTTTATAGGGCGCACTTTTTTCCTCTCTAATTCATTCTGCTCAAATCTCTCTAAAAACAAAATGCATGTTAAATGTATATAGTATAATGACAAATTGACTGACCAGCAGTGTAGTAACTAAGCATTTAGGTGCAGCATTGCGGGGTCGTGGGTTCAAATTCCACATGGTACAAGTATTTATATGGTCAACAAATGATTCTTCTAGTTTTGAATGAATGTCAGAAAAAATATCCTAGTGAGGGTGATAAGGTTTTTAAAAAGAACTTTTGTTAACATTATTGAAGAACAAACATATATATGAGGGTGACACTGAAAGTTCTTAGAAAATCAAAAACTGAACAAACTAGCAAGTTATTAGTTTTATTATATCTATTCAAAATAGTGTCCATTTACATCAATACATCGCTGCATTCGATGGAACCACTGAGATAAGCACTTTGCCCATTTGTCCTTAGAGGTCTCTTTGACGGCATTTTGAAATGCAGCCACGGCTTCCTCGGCATCCATAAAATGTTTTTCTCGAAAATTTTATTTATTTTCAGAAATAAATAAAAACCGCAAGGTGCTATAATTCCACGTCTGACGTCGCCAACTAGTCGATTGTTTGCTTGGCGGTGTGCGACGAAGCGTTGTCGTGGTGAAGGAGGATCCTACTGCGAGGTCGTTACTCCCGAACTTTATCCAAGACAAGTGGCAAACAATTGTTAGTGTACCACTCTGCAGTAACTGTTTTTCGATCCTCTAAAACAATTGTTGCGTAATGACCTGTCCTTCCGAAGAACGAGGCCACCATCTTTTTTCCCACGCTTTGACCTCTCTTCACTTTAGTTGGCAACCCCTTGGAAGGAAACACCCATACAGCAGAGTGTCTCTTAGTTTCAAGATCACAACAATAAATCCAACTTTCGTCACCCGTAAGTATGTCGAACACAGCATTTGGAACACCTATCAACATCAACCTTTGTCAAATTATGAGGTATCCACCGGGAACAAAGCTTCCTGACCGCTAAATGTTCATGGAGGATTTTGTGCACTTGACTCATACCGATGCCTAAGCTTGTCCGAATCTGCTGATAAATCACTCTTTTGTCAGTCTCTATCATACGCCGCACAACCCTGATGTTATCTTCAGTCGTCGCCGTGGAAAGCCGTCCCTCACGCAGATCATCGGTGAGATTAGTGCGACCACGTTTAAACTCATTAAACCAATTGTAAACAGTGGCACGAGATGTGGCTTCATCGTGAAAGGCCAATCGAAGTCTATCATAACTTTCTTGTTGACTTAAATGACATCGAGAGTCATAAAAAATCATTGTACGAAAATTTTCTCGCGTTAAATTCATGCTGACGTGACACAGACAATTTTGAATTTGCCGCCAAATCGTAAACAAAGGACAAATTAATAAAATAGATACACAATAATATTGGCAAGGAGTTCCATTTTCAAAATTTAAACTTCTAAAAACTTTCAGTGTTACTCTCGTATAGCAGCTGCCTTTACAGAACTGCTAGAGACTGTAAAAGTTCCAATTATGGCTGCTAAAGCTCGTGATCTGCCTGAGTTTCTATGTTTATATAAAAATCTACTCATAGACATATGATGTCGCCTATGCTAATATAATAAAGCGAAAGATTTTTTTATGTATAGGATATCTAGCATTAGGCTGTACCTCTCAGCTGGGCATAAGTATTGATTTTTTTAAGCAAGTCGGAAGAAACAGCACTCCCGAAATGATTAATCTGTGTGCGCTAGTGTCATGGTTAGTGATACGTAAATATAATGTTCCACAAAACTACAGATCTTTACTCCATTTAAAAAAACTCCACAATACCATATGTCCATTTCTTATACATAAGCCACAACTATGTAGTTTGTGACAAAAAATATTGAAAATTAAAGTGATTTATAAGCATTATTATTAGACATGGCATATAAATCCTTATAAATGAAAGTTAATTCATCATCAAGACAAGTTTATGAAAATAAACTTTGCATAAACGAACGATGCATAAACCCTAGCTGTCCGATGAGAACCGAGAGAAACTAGTAGTGAATGCTTTTATGAGTGAGGTTAGTTCAATCATTATAGCTAAAAAAATCAAAATTAATGCAGTACTTTTGTCTACCTCCAGGGTGGGCGTAACCAAGATTAGTTACATCTTTATTTCTGAACTCTATAATTTCACATTGCTATGGTAATTTGAAAATTTAATTGATTAATAAGTAGAGGTTTATATCAAGAATCATTTCATACCTACCCACTTTTAATGTATTTTGTACGGTTCGGGACACTTTCTGGGGCGTGAGGGGGGATCACTCGGGAGATAAGAGTATTCCATTGATTTTGCCATTTTTTCCATACATTGCTATCTAAAGTGCTAGATGTCATATCATGTCAAGTGATGACGCGGGTGACTCCGCGGGTGGATCCGCGGGGCACAGCTAGTATCTTATAATGATACAATAAAGTTTGATAGCGGCGGAAGAGAATCTATCACATCATTTCATGGCATGAGAGGCAACTATGGAAAATACCAAAAAAATTTATGGTCTTGTATAGGTGACAGTATAACCATCTGGCTTCAGTCAGACGTAAAGTAACAGGCAGCAGCGACAAAAATCCGAGCTGGGATTGCCAATCCAGTAGCTAAGCTATGCTTGGCTAGCAGTCTATTATTTCGAAAAAAATAGATAACATTACTATGACTCTGAATTAGACTGTCAATTTACATAAATAATGTCCCACAAGAATTAAAATACAAGATGATACCTAAGCTTTTAAGATTTTCTTTTTCAGTTATAAGCGCCTCTTCCAGCAATTCCTCTTGAGTTAAGACCCTCTCCTCTACTCTTTTTGGTTTCTTTCTTTTCAGCTCCGATCTGATCTTGATCCGTTGCAGAGTTTCTGCCGATTTGACTGCTGTGCTTTGCCTTATTGACTTTCGTTCTGAAATTCAAAATTATATTTTTATAATAATAATAACACTTCAACCATTTAGTCCCTAATGCTGATGACTCGCATCTGGTTGGGTTTTAAATTATGAATGCATTTTTTATTTCTCTTTTTTACTATATTTAATGTATATATTTATCATTTTTATACATATTTACGCAGCTCAACCAGATGACAAAACTACACCAATACCAAATACCTAAAATGGTACAGATAATTAAATAGATAACTAACCTTTTGAATTAACCATAAATGATTTGTCAACTTTCCCCAGTAAAGCTGAAGTAGTGTCATCTTTAGGTTTTATTTCTCTTGGTTTCTTCACAATAACTTTTTTTTGTTTATCTGCACCTCTTTTTCGTTTTCTATTTGGATCCTGTAAATAATATATTTATTACTAGCTGGTACCCCACACGTTGCAGCCGCAGAAGAAATAATAGTGGAAATATTGGTTTAAATTTAGAACATTTATATTGTTTAATTAGGCATGATAATGCATTTGTTGAAGTTGAATCATATTTAACTTTCAAATATATTTGTTGGTATGATACGACACTGGCAATCTGTTCTCTCTGGCTACCCCGTCAGGGATTGTGCGTGAAGATAAGTAAGTAGATACGCGTGCCACCTACTGTAATTTATTTGTACTATGCCTATAACCTTTGCGCAAGTGTAAGCAATAAGTTGACAAAGTTTACCACAATCTAACGAACAGTATGACAGTGCATACAATACGAACAAACAAAAATTAATTTTTATATATTAGATTTGGAAGATAAGTCAAGTAATAAAAATAAAAAACTTACTGTAACTCTTGTTTATAATATTATATCTACTTATTCTCTTACTCAGGACATTACAGAAAGATTAATGGAACTTTGCATATATTTCATGTGATGATGAAAAACATGCTCAAGTATTTGTAAGAACATACACTCAAACATAATGTGTGCATCTAGCAATGGACTTTTTTTTTTATAACAGAGAGGGCAAACGAGCTAGCAGCTCACCTGATGGTAAGTGACTACCGCCGCCCATAAACAAATGCAACACCAGGAGAATCGCAGATGTGTTACCGGCCTTTTAAAAAAGAGTAGGCTCTTTTCTTGAAGGTGCCCAAGTCATATTGGTCCGAAAAAATCTCTGGTGGTAGTTGATTCCACAAGGAAGTTGTCCAAGGAAGAAAACTTCTTCTAAATAGCACAGTTGTGGACCGCCAATCATCCAGAATGTATGGATGGTATTGCGAGTATTGTCGTGATGTGCAATAGTGAAATTGAGCGGCTGGAAATAGGTCGAACAATTCCTCAGAGCACTCCTTGTGGTAGATATGATAGAATCGCAGAGAACGAGGAGACATGATCGAAACTTATAAAATTATACATGGACACTACGATCTAGATAAATTTTGACAAAGATTTATAACAATACTCAAAAAACACACATCTAAGGGGACATCACTTCAAATTAACCAAAGCCATGTCGAATAATAACCCACACAAGCACTTTTTAGCCAAAGAATGGTCGAAACATGGAACAAGCTGCCGTCAGAAGTGATATCTGCACAAACTATTAACCAATTCAAGAACAGATTAGATAAACAACTAAAATGGAATAATTACACATTTGAAAATAGGATACGGGCTTATATCAGTTGTTGCAACTGCTGGCCTGTTAAGTAATAATAGTAATAAAAATATGCAAAGAGATTGCAACATCTCTTCGCAGTGGCAGTGAGTCAAGCGAATCGGAAAGAACTTGGTCGTCAACTATTCAAGCTGCTCAGCGCTGGATGCGTTCAAGTAGACGGTGCTGGCACTGGGGAGCCCCTGGCCAGAGATGGAGACAGTATTCCATGTGGGACCGAATATACGCCTTGTAAATTGCAAGTGATGTGTGCATGAACTACTGTCCTGCTCTGCTGAGCATGCCAAGCTTTTTAGAGACCATTTTAGCCTTCTCTTCCAAATGACCGTAAAACTTTTATTAAAAATAAAATATAATTTTGTTAAAGAAAGAAGACAGTATTATGTGAGTGTATGTTCAGAAGTTGAGCATAGCTTCACTATCACTTGAAATGTATGCTGTACTTATCTATCTTCTTTATTAGTTTGAATTCTTGATAGGCAAAAAAGTTTATACCTATAAAAAATTATAAAATAACTTTCCTCTCCCTCTTCTATTTAGTTGAACTTTGTTATTTAGTTTACTGGATGTCTTATATAAATAATAAAATCAAAACATAGGAAAACAACAGCGGTATATTTAAATTGTAACATAAATCTTTCTTCTTATGTCACTCACTATCCAGGAAGAAAACAGAGAAATATGTTTGTATGAATTGTATGCCACCTGGTTATCCTTTAAGCCTTTACATATTAATGCTATATAATGTATATTATCTATATTCTCTAATTTTAGTGATCAAATAACAAAACAGTTATTATTATAAATATGAAATGTATGTATACCTTATAAGCTTTGGTGTCAACTTTCCTTTTTTGTTTTTCTTCGTCATCGTGATCAGAAACCGGTTCGTCATTTTCATCAATATCAAAATCAGAATCTACAATATCTTCTGCCTCCTTTTCTTCACTAAAAGAACAACTAAATTTATAAACAGTGCCTACATAATAGTTAAAAAAATTTACACTTGCTGTTTCTAGCAAAACAACAAGTAGCTTAACTTAAATTAAGCTGGATTAAATTATAGAGCATATACACAGGTACCAAGATAGTTCATTGAGTGGCAGCCCTGTTTCGCATACCTTTAAGAATTAGCAAATCGATAACTTACACATAATCTCCATCTTCTTCCACATCTTGAAAACCACCGTAAGTAGTTTTATAGAAATCATCGTCTTCTTCTTCGTCGAGCAACTTTGCCATGCGATTGCCAGCATTAGAACGACGTTCTCTTTGCGACATTTTATAAAAACCTTCAATTGCCACAAACTACCTTACAGGAAATTCTCGTCAGAGAGAAGTATATTATGAAACCAAGCTAATAATCACTACGTTATTTACAGGAAAGCTGTGGCTTGAATTGAAATTTGAAATTCTCTAGAGTATATATACAGTAATCTATGTTTGAAACCATTGAAGTTGAAAGATATTTTATGTTTTGGAATTTCGAAAAACTAACATAGATAAATAAATATTATGTAGCAAGCTAAAACTAAAAAACTAATGTCAGGTAGGGATGGTCGATGATCATCGATGTCAAGAATGAAAACATCGATGTTTTAAAATCGAAGTTGCCACATGTCAAACATCGAAACATCGATGTCAATAAACCCATAATCGATTATTGGGTACTTGCGAATCCACGAAATCAATATCAACTAAATCTTGCATCTCCTCTAAAATATTTAAAATTTTGAATAATTCAGAATGCTTGAACGCAGCGATAACCTAAAATATATCATTATGGGGTATCAAATTTTACTGTCAAGTGTCAACTGTAATGTCGCAGTTGTCACTGATTTCGTTTGTTATTAGTGTCGTTGTTAGCTATCTGTTTCTTTATCGGTTGTTTTAAAAAAAATCCGATGGTTGATCTTAAACACGATCCAATGCACGTTTAGAACAATGTTATCGGTTCTACCTATCTAAAATTAAAAAGTAAGCTTGCGGTGAGATATTTGACCACAATCGCTACATTAGCGCCATCTGAGCGGTTATCTACTGACTTCAAAAAGGAGGAGGTACTCAATTCCACTGTATGTTCTTTTTTTAATATGTTTTACCTTATTACTTTTTTCTGGGTGAACCTATTTCGATGAATTTTTTTTTATTTGAAATTTGGTGCTTCACATGTGGTCCCATAGAAATTAGACCCATATAAGTCTGACCAATAGTTTTTAAGTTATCCTTAAGTCAGTTGTACAAAATTTTATTTTTAAATTATTTTCAATAGCTGGCTCAACACTTTATCAAAAAAGAAACAGATTGAAAGATACTTCTTTGTCAAAATTACTATTTCTTCATCTGCAAAAATATTGGACAATATAACAAGTGAATTAGATATTTGTGAACTTCTTCCAATTTTTTTGAATTACTGTTTTATATTACATTGTTTATTAATTTCTTTTATTTCATTAATTATAAACCATAAACAACATGACAATTTTATTATTCATCTAATTCTAACCTATTAAATACATGTGCAAAAAAATATCGATTATGGCCAACATCGATGTTTTGAGTAGGATATACATCGAACATCGATGTCGAGCTGTCAATGTCAACATCGATGTTTCTACAAAATCGACCATCCCTAATGTCAGGTGGGCTTGGGCAAAAAATATCAATATATCATCGATATTTCAAATCGCGATTGATGTATCGATATTTATTTTAGAGTATCGCATTCGTATCAATTTCGATATATTTTAAAATGTTGTATAAATGACGAAACTTATAACAACAAAAGGAGGTACAAAACTCTTCATGATTTTTTTTCGTCATCCAACCGTCAGTAATATAAAATTTTGAACGTTATCTTAACATCATGCAAATGATGACGATATATCGATATTTATCACGCGATATATAATGATACTGTTTAAAAATATCGAATCGATATATTTTTTTCTCTTGCCCATCCCTAACGTCAGGTCAACGTCAAAATTTCTCTGAAAACTGGCTTTACGGCTCTGGGTTCTCGCCCTTCTGAGTCTGAAGTTACAATGTATAATTATCCTTTATGGTACACTGCTTCACAATATGTTGATGCGTCACATTGTGCAGCCCTTAGAATATTTTGACGGCAGCTTTAGCCAGATAGAACTTAATTCAGATAAGTATCTAACTTTATTTCGTATTTGCCTTAAACAGTACTGTCGTACATGAAGATACAACCGCGTGGCATACTTACCGTTCCAGCTACCCGCTTAGCCGGCGCCCCCGCGGTCTAATAGTATACATAGAAGTCTTTACCAGAATCACAAAACAAGTGTATCGCAGAAGTGTTGCCGTCTAGTGTTGCGTAGAATGGGTGCAGTCGCCTGAGGCCACTTAACTCGACAGGGACGATAAGGTGATCTTTTATCCACATTCATATCAAAAACCCAGCAATTATGATTATATCGTATGAGTAATGAATGATCAATGACCATTAATTTTGATATGATAACGTATATTTTATATGAGAAGTATTCATAATTACGCTACAATATTTACGTGAGGCCTGGCAACAAGTTACGACTTGATAAGCCACGTTGGGAGTCTGTGAATACATGTGACTATTCTTAGGCCTTTGTTCAGTAGTGGACTTGAGACAAACTGTATAAGGCATTATGTCCGGCCTTTCTAATTCCTTTATTTAAGCTGATATGAATTTTTTACAAGCCTTAAAAATTTTACTATATCTACCAATTGATGGCACACAATTTATCCGAAACTTTGATCTCAGACCAGTGACATGGGCAACTTTACTTGTGCGAGGGTTAACTTTGAGCTTACCATCCTGTCTTTTAATTTTGTGAGTGTGTGCTACTTAACCCTAGAAGCCCAATCATATTTAACTAGCTATAAAGCCCAATCATACGTAAAAATGACGTGTAAAATAAAACTTCAGAGTTTTCCTATTTTTTTCTGTTAATGAACTATATTTTGCATGAGTTACCATAATTGAAGTTTTAATTAATAGATAAAATATATTTTAAGTTAAAAATACTCTTTATTAATACAATTATGGCACTTTAATCAAATCTTAGAAAAAAATAAACAGAAAAATCAGTTCTAACACTTTTTCTTAAAATAATGTAATTATAAAAAAATCAACTAGTTTTAAATGTTTTCATAAAATTAAATCAACTTGTAATAACACTTTTATAAGTCTCTTAGAAAAAAACAGTCTTTATATCTTCGTCAAGTCTTGACAAATATCAATATTGTGTTCTCCACATATAGCCTTTTTGCATTTGCAACACTGTGCTTTGGCCATCCGCCGTTTTTTATATGAACAAAATCCACAATAGCGTCGTTTCTTTGTTTCCGGCTCATCACTAATATTTTCCGGAGATGCCGGTACCACATTTTTTACATTTATTATATTGTCGCGTAGAGTTCTCTTCAAAGTAGGTGCTTGTAGTCGTTCTTGCATCCAAGGTGTCGTCAGATCTGTGCTTAATTTTTTCATAAATTCTTTGCGGCTCATTGGTTTTTCTTGTTTATTTATCTTATTGTGACAGTATATTATATAGGAGTTCACAAACGCCATATTCAACATCCCGTAAAAGACCGCCATCGGCCACCTATTAGTCTTCCTGTTAGCAGACATAGACTTACACATCTGATCAAAGGAATCAACGCCGCCTTTTGTTTGATTGTAAAACAATAGCATGTACGTTTTCCATTACTTTCATTGATAACGGCATTTTCATCACAAGAAGACAATAAAAATACCATTTTTGACGGGTTTGGTTCATAGGAAACCAAGGTCAAAGGGCCATCAAAGCAAAACATTGAGGATCCTACCGGCCGTGAGCGAGAATTCTTGATCTCTTCAGGTATTTCTCTTTTGTTAAACCTGATGGTTCCTACTGTTGTTAGGTTGTATGGAGCCTGGAGCATGTTCTTGGCTAATGGGATAGACGTGAACCAGTTGTCGCAGGTAACATTTCTATTTGTGCCGTGTACTGTTTTAGTCAGCTCTTTTACATAAAACTCGCCCAGTGGTAAACCATTTGTTTTCGTACTTTTACCAAGGTACATACATCTATCATGTACTTTGTGGCAGCGTCACACATCATGGGGAATTTTATGCCATATTTATCAGGTTTATTAGGAATATACATCCGGAATGGACAACGGCCGCGAAAACCCAACAATTGCTAATCTACAGTCAAGTTACTACCAGGAACGTAGTTTTGTTTGCATTGAATGATAAAAATCTCCCATATTTTTCTCACCGGTAAAAAAAGCATCATCGCTATGAAGAGTTAAGTCGCAGGGTTTTATCGTCCATTCTCAAACATCTTATTAGGAATTCAAATCTCTCTCGGCTCATTACTGATACATACCTGGTTCCAGAGAATGTAGCGTCAAACAACTTATCACTTGAGAGGTGGTTATCTTTCATAACAGCCGTCAGAGTGAGAATTCCGACTAACGCCCAGATCTCCATTGTATTTGTATCCCTGTAGCTTGCTGAAATGTTTTTCAAATTTTGTCGTTTTACTATCATCTCGACGTTTGTCCACTTGACCTATTTCATGAATTATCTCGTCTGTTATAAAAAGTTGAAAACAGAGCAATGGGTCAATAATATTGCGATACATTCGCGTTGGTCGCTATTTGTGCGTATAATATTGATAGCAGAAGTCCTTCCCGTCGTACGTCCCTTTGTAGTTGACCATACATGGTTGTTTTTTCCACGTATTGACCGCTGAGGCAAACTAATTATTCTGTGTGAAGTCAATGAAGTTACCTCAAGATTAGGCGATTCCCGAGAAACAATAATGTTATCGGGGTCCTCTTGCCTGCTTGTATCTTCAACGAAGTTGACCATCGCGTCCTCGTTATCACTCCAGACATCATCTTCAACTACACGATCTTCTTCCTCGGAGTCCGAATCCAGCGGAGAATAATCGTCATCATTTTCTAAAATTGTCCATTTCGTCCTGGTTTAGTCATTGACGGGACTCCATTTTGTATTCAACCTGAAAATATTAATATTATATGAAAAATGTAACGAAACAATACGATTAACTCAAATAAATCACAAAAATAAAAATTAGAAACAATTTCAAAAGTTACACAAAGCCCAATTATACGTCAAAATGACGTGCAACCTCTCTATTACAACAAAATGGCGGCACTTACCGAGATGACGCAATTGTATCCTGCGAGGTCTCAATGGCTACTGAGTTGGTTCAGAAGTTAGCGGCGATCCGTGAAAGAGACAGAGATATTTCGCCGCG